CTTCCTACTCGTGAGCATCCCCTCTGGTGGGGAAACATTTTTTCAGGGATACAAACTTTTCAAAACACTGGTAGATGGCAGCCATTACAGACGAACAAGTGTTTGTTGTTGTTTGAGGAGCGGCCCGGTCACACACTAATGTCATTAGTTCGTTATCMTTACTGAGCTGCAGGACTGCTTGTTTTCTTTTTTTTTTTCCACATCATGTCGCCTGCCTGGATCTGTTATTATCTCGCTCTGAAGCACGAAGGAGTGTCACAGGTAAGCTCGTTTCAACTGCTTTTCACGACGCTGTCTCATTTCTGGACTCAGGCATTTTGTGAGTTTGTCAGTTAAAATACATAAGTAAAAATATTTATCAGAGTATAATACTARCCCCCAACTTTATGGATGATTTTATGGATTCAATTTTACGTATTATACTTGAAAAAATACGGTAACCGTCGGTGTGGTTGGACCTGGACATTTGGAGCTGTAGTGTCAGGTGTTTTTTTGTTTTTTTTGTCAGGAGGTCCTGTGCAGGTGGAAAATCACAGAAACTAAACTTGAGATGGGTCTAAAATGTTCAGGACAAACCTGATATCATTTCAAGAGAACACTGATTGGACAATTTGTCTCTGTCTCATCAGAAGTCTGAGACAGAGTTCTGATGAGACAGACTCCTCCTCACTATCCAACACCTCACTGATTCCTACCCCGACTGGACCGGGGGGCTGTTTGAACACATCACACACTCCAGGTGGCTTGGACCGTCGCACAGACAAGACGAGCCAACATGGAGGCAATAACGACGGCGCGGTGCCACTAAAGTGTTGCMCTACATCTTCACCAAACAATCTGCATTTAACTCTGAGGGATCAGCTAAAGGAGCRGACGACGTGACGACAAAAGTGAGAAAAGTCCATAAGAAAAGAGYGCAGATGAAGGAGGAGGAGGAATGGTGGATGTGTTGAGGGGCAGCCGACGCCTTGGCCTGCCTCCTCACTCCAGCATCCAAAACACGAGGGCCAAATGTGGTGCACATGAGTCCCCCTGGCACTGAACAGARCTGGGAGCAGAACTGGGGTGCAGCTGGGCCACAGAGGGTTGCTGGGAGGGACGCAGCTGGCCGCCAGATTGTTTACACGCACACAAACACAAACACACATCTGCATTGGAGCGAGGAAGAGAACCCACTGAGGAGGACCGTTCAGCTCAGTCAGCTGTGAGAAGACAAGTTGTTCAGAAACTTACCCCAGGAGAGCGCCGAGGACACTTCCTGCCACCAAACCTCTGAGGCCCAGGTTGAGTCGGTAAAGGCCCATCGTGATGGCTGCTCACACACAAAGTTTCAGTCAGATCACACAGCTGGGCGAGCAAAACAACTCAGGTTCAACACATCAGAAACACCAAAGGAAATTTTACTAACAATAAGTAGCTTCTTAGAAAGTTCAAGTATTTTAGTCCTGCACACCTGAAACAGGACACACACATTTTCAACAAAACTTTTAATTACAATTATTTAAATTTTCTACATCTATAAAACAAAACTGATGAGATCCTCCTTTTTCCTGACAGATTTTTCATCTACAGTAAGAAACATGAATAAGTACGTAAAGCTCTGTCACCTTTACACTAAATGAGAACCACGCTATGACTTAAAACACTGTYAATGTGGTGGTGTTTGTAGAAGCTTGGCATGGTCCTCAGGTGTGTATTCAGACAGGTGATGGTCGGTTTTAGGCATGAACTAAATATCCATAAGAAGGTGGTTTTATCTGCATGATGGCAGCTTGTAGAGGTGTTTGGTGAAGGAAGGAAGGAAGTAGGTGGGTATGTCGGGAGGTCAGTATAAAAGGAGGGAGGTAGTAGTGGTGTTCAGTTACTGGATATCAGTATTGGGCCCAATACCAGCATTTTTAAAAGTACTCGTTCAAAATGCCCCAATGTTTTCATGTTCCCCAACAGGAACTGATGTTTTTTGTGTGGATATTATAAATATGACCTCCATCAGTGAGAACACTTTATGCCATCAATGTGACCTACATGTGCAGATGATGATGTCACATTCAACTCACTGTTTACAGGAGTAAACAAGTCTCTACCTGTGGATGCTACARGTTAGCATGTTGATTCTGAAGTTCTTCAATCAGCTGCTCCGGTGCAGAGTGTATTTATGGATTGACGCGATGCACTGAAAGTAGAACTAACTAAAGTATTGATCCAGTAACTTTAATGTCGATACGATCCAAGATGGACATTACTACCATTTATCMCTGTGGATCCTCAACRGGACATYGAAAATTWWWAAAAAAWGACAAAGCAACTGGACTWCTGTTCTTTAGCTGAAGATTTGTGGAGGTACAAGATTTAGAGTTAGTGTCATTATTATTATTACTTGAATTGATACATATACCCCCACCTCACCGTAAGAATTATCACCAGAAAACATTACAGTCGCCCATCAAATATTTTATTTTATCAGTCGAAATTATTGAAATTTTATGAGTTGGTTAATCATAATATTTTGCAGGTTACGTATAAAGCTCATAAAAATGTATTGACTCTACATATTCAATTAAAT